CAGATTTTAAAAAAAAATTTGATTTATTCATGAGAGACACACACAGAGAGGCAGCAACACAGGCAGAGGGAGAAGCAGCATCCATGTGGGGAGCCTGATGTGGGACTCGATCTCAGGACCCTGGGATCACGCCTTGAGCTGAAGGCAGACGCTCAACCCCTGAGTCACCCAGGTATCCCAGTCTTTCCAGATTTGGGGCTTATTTTTTTCGCCTCTTCTTATTAGTCTCCCTGGGTTCATCCACCCCACCCAACTCCTTGTGACAAATAACTGTGTACCCTCGGGGTCCTAGCCTTGACCTGCTGCTTGACTCTCTTCTCATTCCACATAATCTCCCTGGAGAAAATCATTCATATTTTAACTCCAATGTCTGAATGCTTAATCTAAATTTCTACCTTCGTCTCAGTCTTCTTTCTTTAGTTCCTGACCCACACATCCAACCATTACTTAAGGGAAATCCCAATTTAGACAGGCATTTCAAATGAACTGCATTCATCATGTATGCATTTCTCATGCTTCCCAAGAAGAAAAAGACTTCTTTCCTTCTCTTGTGTTCTAGATTTTGATAACTAACACAACTGTTCCCCCATCACCTGGGCGGCATCCCTGGCTTCTCCCTCCTCCTCCCTACCTACAACACCAAGACCTGCTGCTTGGACCCTCTCAGAGGCCCCTCATTCCTGTTCACTGCCCTCCCAACCACCACACTTATTTTTTTCATTTCTTCATGGAATTACTACAAAATCTCCAGTCTGGTTTTTCTGCCTCTAGTTTTGGCTCTCCACCAATTCGTCATTCACATGCTGCCAGTGATCCCTTTCAAAAGGAGAACCGATCACGTCACTGACCCAAATCCTTCTCATTACCTTCGAGATACGAATCTCACTCCTTTGGTTCTTTCTGATTTAATGCATATCTGCCTCTCAGCTTCACTTCCTTCTATGCTCTTTTAAGAAGTTCCCTCCGCTCCAGCCACAATGGAACTTCTGCTCAGAGCTGTACTCTCGTGCCCCGTGCCTTTGCCCGCGAAGCCCTCACACACTCCATCTGGTCATTTCCTATTCCCTGTATGAAGAGCAACCTCCAAGAAGTGCCTAATACATTATGGATGCTCAATAAGTGTTTGCTGTATGCCGGCAATAACAACTATTTACATTTAAGAAGTTCTTTCCAATATACTAGATACTTTCACTTATATCTATAATCACATTTAATAGATTTTGATTTTCACAACTTGACTGTTGGACAATCATTGAAGATCTTATTATTCTCAGTTACCAATGAGGAAATAATAGCTCTTGGGTTTCCAAAGTGGCATAGCTAGAAATTAAGGCAATCATCTGTGACTAAGGGCTTGTCCTCTTTCTATTATTATCCTACTGAAAACCCACTATGAGCTAAAAGGAGTACTGGACTTGGATCCTAAAATATTTAATTTAATCAGAGGCACAGACCCATCCATGCACATAAAATGGAAGAAAACTCTACAAGAAAGCAGAGTACAGGGCTAGGTGCCAAACTGGGTAGTGCTCCAGTAGAAGTGCATTTTGTGGGCATCAACCTAATCCTGGAAGACTTTCCAGATGCGGGGGCAGCAGCATGGTCCTGCAGCCCAATTATACGAAGAATGAGTAAAACGCTGAAAGAGCATTCCTCTACTCCAACAATTTGAGTGCAGACCAATACAGATCCAGACGACAAAGAGGAAACAAGTTAGAAATGGAAATGTGTTTTCTACCTTGACTGAATTTCTTATAAGTTTCAGAAAGTAGCAGAGAAAACGAGAAAAAAGTACCCTCTCACTCTGGCAAAACAAAAAGCAAACAGAAGTCCAGTAACGAAAAGGAAAACTTCCTCTGACTTATAATAGTAAGGCTAGGAAACAGTGCAGTCATTTGCTTGTCTTAATTTTTTTTTAAAGTCATCCCACTTCATTAAATAATGATAGCTTTCTACCACAATTATTTTTACCTTGACTTCTGATGTAGCTAAGAGATTTAAGTAAGAAAAAGAAAGGCTACATCTGTCTCTTCATTGCTACCTTATTCCCTGGTGATAGTGTTCTGGTTTGCTACATTTAGTTAAGTATCAGCAAAGTAAATAATTTAACTATTCTAATTTGATGAGCTTGGAAACTTCTTCAAAAGTCAGGACTTTTGTTTTTTTACCTGACCGCCAATAACATCCTGAACCTGCCAATGGAAAGAAATAGAAAACGCATGGTGGGAAATCCCCACAAGGGGCAACATCAAGACCTTTGCCATTCTTCTTCTCAACCCCTACCCCATTAGCAACTTTGTGACCTTAGGATAGTTCCTCTAAAAATAAAGTGTATCTGTTTATCTAAAGCAATTTCTCTGACCCTCTTCTCACTCAAGCAACAGACAAGTACAAGTACACAGGGCCAGCTGCTGGAGGGGGAAAGAGAAACTGTTGTCCTTAAACATTTTAGTACCCTTTCCTCCCCCCTTCCACCCCTCAGTCATTTGTTCCATCAACACACAATCCCCTAAAATCAAATGTTGCTTTTCACAGTTGCCATTACCTACTGCCTGAAATATTTCAGTGCAAGACTTCCTCAATGTCAAGTTCATAGCTACCGATAAAATCATTCTTCTACAGCAAGTACAAAGTACCAACACACATCTCCACTTTTCCAACCTTAAAATCTGCACAACCAAATTCTCCAGTCCTCGTTACTTCAGCATGGAGATCTACAATGTTGTTGTTGTTCTTCTTCTTCTCTCTCTCTCTCTCTCTCTTTTTTTTTTTAAGATTTTATTGATTAATGAGAGAGAGAGAGGTAGAGACACAGGCAGAGGGAGAAGCAGGAGCCGGATATGGGACTTGATCCTGGACCCTGGGATCACAACCCTGAGCCAAAGATAGAGGATCAACCACTGAGCAACCCAGGCATCCCTCCTTGTTCTTTTTAAAATACAAATGCCGAATCCTGTACCATTTGAGAAAATACAACCCTACTCCTGTGTTAACAAAGGCCAGGTTTTTATCACTAATTTGTCACTTCATGATATCAATAATGGGCACCACTACGTTTCTTGGATGAAAAGACCAATTCACGATTTTGCTAACGATGTGAAAACTAGAGTCTGAAAACGCGGTACTACAGGAGGAGTGCTGTTGATCTTAGATGTCGTTTGTCTAAAAATGCATCCCCTGGCCCTAAGCTTCGGGAACAGGTAATTAAGATGCCATGGAGGGTTTACTTTCCGATCTGAATTTATCACCTCAATATTCTAGCTTATGAATCGTGGGTTCTGTATACATCACACCGAGTGTCAATATCCACACATAAACCTTCTTGCTTTGACAATTAATCTCCAAAAGGCCCCCCAGAGTCCCAGCCCGGAAGCCCAGTTTGGTGAAACATAATAAATGTCCGTTTCCATCACGGAATATATGCTTCTCGGGTTCAATTAACCTCTGAACGGTTCTCCTTCTAAGAGGAAAGTAATTTTCCTTGGTGTCCCTGTCATCTGTGGGCTGGAAATCTCTCTGGTGGCAAAGAATGAGCGATCGCTTACACGACCCAAGGAGGGCTCTTCTCTCCATTTCCCCCAAGCGCTGTCTGGGGCCGCAGGAAGAACTGATGGAGGAGCCATAATCTCCAGACATGAGCACTGAATCAATCATGCGGTTTCCACCCGCCTGCTCTTTCCTCCCCAATCTTCTCTCTCCTCCATTTTTCTTTCCTCCTCGAGGCTCCTCTTTCTCAATCCAGGACTCTCTGTCGGCTGTTTGCATGTTTACCACCCACCAGGCACCGTCTCCCGTGGTCCTCCAAGATTCCTTAAAAGCACCACCTGGGGGGGGGGGTCCCTGGGGGGGGGGGGGGCTGGCTCAGCAGTTTGGCGCCTGCCCTGGGCCCAGGGCGTGACCCTGGAGACCTGGGATCGAGTCCTGCACCGGGCTCCCTGCATGGAGCCTGCTTCTCCCTCTGCTTCTCCCTCTGCCTGTGTCTCTGCCTCTCTCTCTCTCTGTCTCTCACGTATAAATAAATAAAATCTTAAAAAAAAAAAAAATGAGAGCACCACCCGGCACCGGCACCGGTATCTCAAGAGCCATTAGGATACTATTGTGTGGGACAATGTTACATTTGTTGAACGGCCCTGCAAAGTTTCGATACAAAATAACGTGGGTGGACTCCCCAGCTCCACCGAAAACGCGGAGGCTTGATGCAAACGAAACACACGCACACGCACACCCCCCATCCACCCGGAAAGGCCCAACCCAGGCCCGCAGCCTGAAATGGGATCCCGGGGATGACAGTGCAGCGCGGGGCCACGCAGCGCTCGCGGGTTCGGGGCTCGGGAGGCCCAGGTGCCCCGGGGCCGCCGACCGAGAGAGCTCCCGGGGGCACCTCCCCGGCCCGGCCGCCGCCCCGGCTGCCAGGAAGGGCCCGCGGGCTCCGGGAGGCGGGGCGGCCTGCGCCCGGCTGTCCCGGGGGTCGGGGCGGGGCGGGGTCGTGCGGGGCCAGCGGGCGGGGCGGGGCCCCCCAGGCGGCCGCAACAGGTGCGCCGCCCCCCGCCCCCCCCCCCCCCCCGCGCCGCCCGGCCGGCCTTTACCTGCAGCGGCGGCTCCCGAGTCCGGGGAGGGAGGGAGGGAGGGACGGAGGGACGGAGGGCCGCGCTTCCCCGCCCGGCAGGCCGAGCTCGCCGGACGCACGGACCGACCGACCGACGGACGCCCGCGGGCGGCGACCGCGGCCGCGCAGGCCCCCGCCCCGAAGGCCCGGGCGCTGGCCCCGCTGGCGGCGCAAGGGCTGCGGGGAGGCCCCGAACGCCCGGCGGGGCTCAGGGGGCAGAGTCTGCAGCCGACGACCCGGCCGCCACCCTCGCTCGCTGGCCCCGCAGGCGCGCGGGCCCTCGCGCTCGCCCGCGTTTCCTCGCGGCTTTTGGTCCCTCCCTCTCGCCGTCCTCCTGGCCCCGCCCCCCCGCCCCCGGTTGTCAAGGCAACCCGGGCGACGCCAGCCGCGGAGCCGAGGCGTTAGGAGGGGCGGCGGCGGCGGGGGCTCGGCCCTTGGGGCCCGGGAGCTGCTGACCATGGAGCCCCACAGTAAGGGGGCCGGGCGGGGCGGGCCGGGGCCTCCCGGGAACCGGGGTGGGTGCCCGCGCGCGGCCCGCAGGCGTTAACGCTTGTAACGCGGAAACACCGTGCCCCCCCCTCCCTCCCGCCGCGCGTGTCGGGTCGGTCGCGGGGGCCGAGGGGGTCCGCTGGGAGCCGGGGGGGGGGGCGGGGCGGGGCGGGGGGGCGCGAGAGCTCGGAGTGTGGACGGGAGGCGGCAGCGCCCCCGCCCGGTTCCTCCCTGGAATTACCGGGTATTGTCGCCACCGCTCAGGTCGTCGAGGTCATGGTAGTTTTTAGTTCATTCATTCATTGTATTTTTCCTTTATTTATTTTTTTTAATGGAGTTCAGTTTGCCAACATATAGCATAACACTCAGTGCTCATCCCACCAAGTGCCCCGCTCATGCCCATCACCCAGTCACCCCCACCCCACGCCCACCTCCCCTTCCACCACCCGTTGTTCACTTCCCAGAGTTAGGGGTATCTCCTGTTCTGTCTCCCTCACTGATATTTTCATTCAGTTTCTCTCCTTTTAAGAACCGTCCTGCTCCTACGAGTCAGCAGTTGAACCTGCCACGAGGGTGGGCCTTGCATTTGCGAGAGAGACCCTGTCCAACCTCTCCCCTCCACCGTCTGTGGTTTAAAGGAGGAAAACAAACAAACAAACAAAAAACAACTGAGCTGTGTCCAAGCCTGTTTGGTTCATGGCTGGAGGTTCTACGAGGTGGGACACTACGAAAAACAAAATTATTTTCCTGTTTCCCACCTTGTTTGGCAAAACGTGGCCAGTCTGGAATCAAGAGATCCAATTGGAGCTCTATCTAAGTTAATGGGTCCCCGGCCTCCCAAGCCCCTCTAGGGCTGGAGAGCTCGGTCCTTCCTTTGCCAAGCTAATGTGTTATTGCTCTTTTTGTTCTTAAAATAAGAACAGTATTTCCCATAGTATTTCCCAAGACTTGGAAGACCTTAAACCTTCAGAGAAGGATGCAGTTTGACTCTCAAAACCAAGTCATCTTTTCTTGGGCCATTTCAGAGATGGAAGTACTCAGATCAAATCCATTCTCGGGGGGAAATGCTGGCATTTTAAGAGGTCATTAGTTTCAAGCAAGAAGGTTTTAAAGGTTTTGTCCCCCACCCCTTTCAACTCATTTGCTGATGAAAAACTTAAAAGGTGTGAGTTATCTATCATTTGCTTGAACTGAATTTATACACTATCCTGCCATTTGCATTTATAACTCTCAGGATTCTATATCACATCTAACTTGTCAAAAGAAACAGCGTAAGACAATACTAAAAGTTTTGTCCCCTGTCAAACTGATGCCAAGCTGTGTATGTTCTCTGTTTACGAAGAATGAGATGAAATATATCCTTTGGAAACAACTTTATTCCTTCTGATTTGTTGTTTAAATGTGTTAAGTATAAATTTCAGCCAATTCAGTGCTCACGGTCTTTATTCACTCCCTCATTTATAGTATCTATTGTGTTCCAGACACACTCTAGACAGCGGGGTGGCACGATGAGTAGGACACTGTTAGACTGTTAGTTTGGGCCATCCCAGGAAAACCCTGCAGAGACTTGTCCAAGAACCACCCACACCTCCCTCAGGTCTGAGATTGGGAGAGAGGAGACAGATAGAAGGGTCCTGGGAGGAAGGAATAAGAGGCCTGCAAAATGACCCAGCAAAGAATAAGGGAAGGGGTTCCAGGCGGAGGGAACCCTGCAGTACATAGGTGCTGAGATCTGAAGAGCAGTGGGTTTGAGGCTCAAAGTAGATTAGTAAAGTTTTAGCTAATAAGACTTGAGGGTAGAGAGGAGTAGAAAAGACAGGTCTGGAAAAGTCAGTAAGAGCCAGATCACAAAGGCTTGATAAAACTATGTAAGAAATGTATCAGGGGGTGTCTGGGTGGCTCAGTCAGTTAAGCATCCAACTCTTGATTTTGGCTCAGGTCATGATCTCAGGGTTGTGAGATGGAGCCCCGCGATGGGCTCCATACTGGGCACTGAGCGTGTGTAGTCTGCTTAAGGTTCTCTCTTTCTACCCCTCCCTCCCTGCTCCCTCTCTAAAAGAAAAAAGAAAAGGAAAGTATTATGTGTATGTATTACATGTTTATATCCCATCGCATTGAGTTTTGAAGTGGAAAATTTCTGTTAATTAATCCATTCCCGGGGTATAACTGTACATTTATTCCTTTCACTATATTCTTAAATGCTTTTATCAATTTAATTTTAGATAATCCAAACAATCACCAGTTATCTTAGGAAGTTCTTTTTTTTTTTAAGATTTTATTTTTACGTAATCTCTACATCCAATATGGGACTCAAACTCACAACCCTGAGGTCAAATTCACATTATCTACTGACTGAGCCAGCCAGGCGCCCCAGGAACTTCTTTCACAGTCCAATAAGCACCATTGGGATAAATATTTACTAAATCATTCACTGTTAGTAAATATTTGGAAGACACTTAAAACATTAAATGATTTTTTAGGTCCCTTTTAATTTCAAAATTCAAATCCAACCTTCAAAATTAAGATTTTCCCTGAAACTCACATTATTTAATTCTCTCAAAAATATTGGAGAGCACTATAGATAGGGTATTAACAAGTATTATAATTATAACTACAATTATACTGTAACCGATATTATATTAACAATATAATCCAACACATTTTAAACCTGGTGTTTACATGGCACCGTTTGTCATGACGGGTTTCTTTTTTTTTTTTTTTTTTTTATTTTATAAATTAATTTTTATTGGTGTTCAATTTACCAACATACAGAATAACACCCAGTGCTCATCCCGTCAAGTGTCCCCCTCCGTGCCCGTCACCCATTCACCCCCACCCCCCGCCCTCCTCCCCTTCCACCACCCCTAGTTCATTTCCCAGAGTTAGAAGTCTTTATGTTCTGTGTCCCTTTCTGATATCTCCCACACATTTATTCTCCCTTCCCTTATATTCCCCTTCACTATTATTCATATTCCCCAAATAAGTGAGAACATACACTGTTTGCATGACGGGTTTCAAAGAACATTTTACAACCGTGGTGGCACATAGCATCAGTGAATTGATTGAAAGGAAGGATTCTTCTTGATGAAGGATCCTTTAAGGATAAGACATACACCAAAGGACAACACCGAGGACCTGCTAGAGTCAGCCTTATCCATTCTGTTTCCACACACTTAGGTTTCTATTACTTTTAGAAATGACCTTTATTAACAGAGTCATTAAAATCCAATAAACATAAACTCCTCAGGCCTCAAAGAAGGATCATACTCTGGCTTTAGGCAGAGGAGGACAGGGGCTACCACTATTTTACAGAATAATAATAAATCAATGAGCCAAGAAATGACTCCCCAGGGAAAGGGCAAATTAAGTAAATTCACAACCTCAGGCCGTTCAGAGTGGTTTTGGCTCAGCTCTCAGCTTTATTATTTTTTTCCTAAGCTAACTACACTGTAGGCAAGATAACCCATGTTTGAAATAACATGGAAAATCTACATCAAATTCTTTTTTTTTTTTTTTTTTTCGGTTTTGGTTTTGGTCTTGGTCTTGTTTTTAGAGAATATTTAAGTTCAACAGTACTGTCTCTTCCCTAATTTCTTAGTGACTGACAATGCCAAGGGGTAGCTTTGGGGGGTCTTTACCCTCCCTCTCATGATCTTTCCTAGCCCACCAAATCCCCTAAGCAGACACATAATCTGAGTCTAAAAACTGTATTTATCCCGTGCAACATCAAGATAAGCCCCCAGCTCTGCATTAGAACCCCCTACTGCTGTCTACTCCCTGTATAAAAATCTGGGTCTAGTTTAGGCTGGGCAGCAGTTGACTGCTATATACCTGCCCTTAGAAAGAAATGCCAAATGGGGATCCAAGTTGCTCCAATGACTAAGAGAATGAGGCATTCACTTAAAGGGCTGAAGCCTTTCTGCAAGCCTGTTTTTCTACTCATTTTTCATCTTTGATAGGATTACAACATCTCCCCAGTTATTCCAGCTGGAAATCAAAGAGTCATCCTTCACTCCTCCCTTCCACGCCCTATTCCTTGTACCATCCTGCCCACCAGAATGCCTGTTTACTCCACCTTCAAAATACGCCTCAAATGTGCAACCTTCTTCCTACTGTCATCAGTGGGACCCCAAGCCACAGCGTCTTGCTTAAGCCATGATCGGAGGCTCTCCTGATTTCTACAGTTCCTCTCTCCTGCCCCATCTGTGCTCCACCTGGAAGTCAGAGTGACCTTTTCAAAATAACATTTTACATCATGTCACTCCCCTGCCAAAACCTTCCAGGGTTCTTATAATGATCTAGTTGCCTCTTCAGGCCTATCAGGGGTATGATCTTAGATAATTATGCTTCAAGTGTATGGGTCTTTTAGTCCCTCCACCAAGCTCCTTTAAGGACGGTAAGTCTGAACCAGCTTTTTCCCTCCTGTTCTGACAGATCTGACTCAATATCCTCTGGTCTTAGTTTCAAGGTCCCCTCTTCATTGAATCCTTCTCTTCAATCCTAAAGTAGGTAGTGCCCCCCTTCCTCGTGTGATTCCTGCCTTTGTGTTTTTCTCTTCCTAGCAATGATAATTTGAAATTTGTTGTTAATTAAAAAAAAATCTGTTTTCTCCACCAGATTGTAGGATTGTTTTAAAGGGCTCAGTCTGTCATTCTGGTCCCAGTGCCTGACATGAAGTAAGCCCTGAACTAGCATCTATGGAATGGATGGCAATGCTGATAAGAGCTGAATGCCTCATCTGATTTTATTTCCTTAAGAATGGGATGTAGTTAAAAATGAAAAGTCATTTTACTCTATGACAGGAAGGGCTTTGCACCAGTGAAATCTAAAGTGCCTCTTGTGTAGGATGCTTCAGGTAATGTTCATTTAACTCAGGTGCTTATAAAAGTTAGCTTGATTACAAACACAGCATTCCTTTTTGCTAGCCTAAATGAGAGGTTTTCAGAATCTCATTTTATCCAATAAAATTAAGGAACTAGGC